ACTCCAGACTGTAGGTAATCCTATGTCTCTGTGTCAAATTTCGATCTGAATGTTTGAATAGTTTTTGCATGAAGGAGTATCAATACATCCTCACAAACTAGGATTAATAATAATAAGAAAAATAAATATAGCAACATAATCACGATCTAACCACATATCCGCTATTGCCTAGATCGAATTAGTTACAAAATGATGCTCCTCTGTTAAGTACCAATTTCTACTTAACCAAACACTAGATGTGGCAACTCTGCATTCGAATTAAACATTGCAATGAACATAAGTAGAGTTGTAGTGTTAGATTGCGAAATAATTCGACAATTGTAACTTGATTTGTGTCAATTTGATTCAAAGTTCTGTAATTCCGTCTCATTACTCGTGTTAGAAGATGCATTAATTATTGTTTGTTTTTTTTGTTTCATTACGAGTAGTAAGTACACTCTGTTTAAAACAATATTTTGCCTTGAGATTGCAGTACTTGTTCTTTTATCGTATCTTCATTAATTTGACGATCATATTTTTGAAATCGTTGACTGTCCCAACCACCAAAACATCACTAAACAAAAGCCTTCTTAATACGAGAGGATTTGTCATAAGCCCCACACTTGGCCGGCGCTAGGCGATCTTGCAGTTGGGTCAACGAAAATATAAAGGGTGTCGTTTACCAAAGGTTCTCCTTCTAAAAGAGATATTGCTTTGCAAAAACCCCTACAATTGGTAAGCGTCTTGAGGATCACAGGTTATCAAAAATACCGACCAACGACAGCACACATACCCGACAGAACTTAAAAGTCGCAAGCAGATCATTCACCGCGATCACAATCTTGCACGACAACTATTTATAACTATTCACTATCCAGTATTGTACTGTGCGATGATATCTTTAAGAACACCGCCATTATGTTGTAATGCGTGAAGAATGTTAACTGTAGTACGGACAGACGGACACACGCAATGCTATAGTAGCTGTAGATTTGGTAGCACCCTATTTGGAAGATTTGACGATGATATAAAGTTATCTTAGTTCTGTATCCTATGTCTTTGTTTAAGGGTCTGATGTGTATCGTAGTTATTTAGAAAGTTTTTTTTATATGTTTCGTTTCTGGAGCCTTTTTTGGTAGTATTTATTTTTATTTTTTTATTTATTTACACTTTTTGTAGATATACAATGGCGAACTTAATGCCTAGTGGCATTCTCTAACAGTCAACCTTAGGGTGATGCAGAGAGACACAATAGTATATAGTAATAGTAGGTAATAGCAATAGTAGGTAGTAATTATAAGTACCTCTATATCTCGAGTTGAACTATATTTCTTGCCAGAATCTGTGTTTCCCACAAATATAACTTAGGTTGCTCATAGGTAGGCGGGCTCTATCGTAGGCCAGATCATCGCTTACCACCAAGCGAGATAGTAGACGTCAATCTATCAAGTACCTGTCGCGGAGAACCTAACGGGTAACCGGGACTCCGGCTCCACGTGCGGGAGAAGGAACGGGGTGGTTTTTAGTCAGTAAGAGTCTGACACTCCTTTCCGCCTCACCCAGGCGGGAGCAGTCATTCGATGATTTACCCCCTTAAAAAAAATATATCAAGTACCTATATAAAAAAAATATTTTCTCTGTAAATCATTTCGGTGTAGACAATTTTAATGTTCATAAATGGTGACAATTATTAATTTCAATGCTATTTAAGTATAGTTATAATTAACTATATGTAATAATCCAAAATTTAAGCATCAGATCATACCACGAAACTAATGACCATAATTCACTTAAGAATCATTAACAAAATCAACGACTCAAATTAGCGGTTACTTATTCATATCATGTTTTGTATCACCTATCTACTGATCATCGCGTTTCAAAGGATCATTGTACATAATTTTTAACAAGAATTCCCAAGCAATTTAGTATCAGAAAAATGCCGATGTTTAATACATAGGAACACTAAAACCCGCTATTTTAACCCATAAAGAAACAATGGGCGAGGAAGTAAGATGTTCCGCCACCTTGAGAGATTGACTATAGTTACTATGTATTGAAGAGACCATACATTAAAGGACAGAAGGCTAACAGAATAAAATAGATTTTTTTTTTCTCTTTCAAATCCATGAATCCCCAACAATCTTCAAATTCCAAATCCCTAAAAGGCCGGTAACAAACTTGTAACGCCTCTGGTGTTCCGGGTATCCATGGGCGACGCCGATTGCAATCAAGTGATCCACCTGCTCGTTTACCATACAAAAAAGCAGGCGAGTTAGAAATTGCAACAAGGTCACTATTATTCACCTCATACATTGTTAAAGTTAAAATACTGCATTATCTCAACATTACTTAAAATATCTTTTCACAATGGATCTTCTGTGTAATCTTCTCAATGGCAGTCATAACTGGGTTCCCACAGAAGTTATTTAGATCGGAATCGAACCAAATTGCATATTATTGTTTGATTTTTTGCGTGAGTTAAGATGGCGACCTGTCTCTGATTGTTGTGGATGACTGCGCTGGACGAGTTTAACGACTCTTTGTAAACATAATCAAATAATCTAGTTTGTTTATGTTCTGGTTTGTTTAATTTCTATTTCATACTAGATCAAAATGTATTTTACGATCATATTAGGTACCGACGCATTTTACTTTTTGTAAATGTAGCTATATATTTTTACGTGCCTACTTCTTGAATTATTTTTTTATTATTTTTTTTAAATAAAATATTAACGGACTAGATTGATACAATAAAGGCTATATGCCGTTTTACTCTGGAGATTAACCAGTACAAAAATCACTATGATCGTTTGTTTTATGTTTTATTTTTCTTACTAAAACAAGCAAACGCTATCTACATAGTTATGATAATAGACCCTAAGGTACATGGTACATGACATTGTTAGGGACCCAATTTGGTCCCGCTAGCCGATGGGTCCCATAGTTTACGGTGTTGTATCTTAAGATCTGCACGTATGAGAACCAGCTGCAAAGTTGCGATCACACGGTTCATTGACGAGGCTGGCGAATTGTAGTCTGAGAATCAATAACATTGTAAGATGTTAATCTTACAAACATAATATTATGATATTTGCAGGAATAAGATAATCTTTGATTTTATAAATATCTATTTTATTGTCTTTGTTTCTACATAACATTGATAAATTATAATCACAATCAAGAAGGAAAAGGTATTCTTCTCATAAACAAATGCAGTCAAAGGAAAAAGTAGGTTAATCTTTTTTTGTTGAATCGATGAGATAATCTACAGACTATGTTTTTATAACAACTATCGTGAGACATACAAAATTAACTAAAAATTGCAGGTTACTCGCGTGAATATACTGAGAAAAGCTCTACTAGTTTCGAACCACAGAGTCTTCGAACTTCCTCGTCGCGGCGATATCGCGCAGCCTGCAGCGAGTAGGCTGCACGACATTATACACAACTAATAGAGTTTTTCTCAGTATATTCATGTGAGTAACCCGCGGTTTTTATTTAATCTACAGACTACCTCATCAATAGAGAGACTTTGTATATATAAAGATATAGGTAAACATTTCACAGACATGTACTATTTACATCCAAGTAATTCTTTCGAATGTAGCGATTGTTAATGTCTTGTTAAAATATAAAAAAGTGAATTTCAATGTAATTTCCCTCACCTTAGTGTGATGCTTGTCAAAGTGGTTTTAATGGATTTACCGCAGTTATGTAAGTTATCACTTAATGCGTTTTATTAGCCGTGAGATTGTTTGTTTTTTGCTTTTTGACATACAAACGCCTTTCACGTGTACTGGGTGGATTTAAATGAAAATAGAACAAAAACCTTTGTGAGTGAAGTAAGAGTAAATGTTATGGTTTTACGTTAAGTACGATATTTCACGGTCTTATAACTTGGTAGAGAAAAAGTTGGGAGAGTTTTTGGTAAGAAATTTTTCGGAAATACTTTACCTAAAACGCCTGTTCCACCATTCTATAATGTTACTTAAAATTCAGACTCCATTTTAAGAACTATATCTTCAAAAGCGGTTAATAAATAACTCTTTTCATAGAAAAATGGGTCATAAACGAACACCAATCACAACATAGTTACAACATTTGAATAGCAGATAGACAAACTATAAAAAATATATTTCAAATCACATGCGACAAAAGATTGCGGATTTCACGGGTGGATTGTAAGCCATCAGTTTCTACTCAAGCGTCGCGATTGTGAAACTGTCGATCTATGGGAAAATACTCCATAACAGCTGCAAGATGCGATTTGTCGCGCAGTCGCAACTTCATTGTCGATCTGATGGAAATCAATGAGGAAGTTTTTTGGATCATTTTGTTACAGCTTGGGTAATGTCTAGATTAGTTCTTGCGAACTACTCTATAACTCCTTTGGATTGTTTTAGCTTTGAATTAAGTAGATTTTCAAGGCTTTATTTATTTATTTATTGTGTACAACGATGACTTTTCTCCATTCACAATACACTAAGATCCTATTACACGCATGATGAGCTCCTATTGCATTACTTTAAATTTGTAATAGTTAAATCTCTCGTTAAGCCGACTCGAAACATTGTGATCCTATTTCCAAAGGTACTATTACAAATCCATGATTACCAAATAGTATCAGTTGATCAGCTATCACTGACAGTTTTTCCCTCCCCAACAATAGCTCGCCACATATTGAATAGGGTCCACTGGTGGGACAATGTCGTAAGCAGAATAATTAGTCTTGCCACTAGTCTGATTGTCTTCGGGAGCTTGTCTGCTTTTTGCTTTATTGTCTTTGGAACTATGTTTAAAATATTTGCGCATAATGGATATATTGTTGGAGACACTGGCATTCTAATAATTTAAGTGTGTTGTTGTGGTAAATTGTTTTGTAAAGGAATGCGCATAGTTAAATCATTAGATACAAATGACGTTGAAATTGTGTAAATAGCAGGAGATTCTTTAAATCTTGATGTTAATAGTTTACGGTTCAACAATAATTATTTAAATTATTTTTTTCTTTATTTCAGGTTGTAATTTCTATCCAGTGGGTGAATATTTAAGATTCGTGAGGATACCAGAGAATCTGCAAGTTGGTGATGAAGTGCTCAGAGTAGAAGTCCATCCAAGGTAAGAAGACTTTACTTTTTCATTGTACACGAACTAAAGTGTTGTGTGCAAATTATCACATTATTAATTTCATTATTAAACTAAATGTATTTATCAAATCAATCGTATATTGCTTTGTGGTATCTTTACGTCAGTTACTGCTGTTAAAACTAGTTACCAATCAATTAGCAAGCAGACGATGCATACACAGAGCGACGTGTGAATGAAATATATTATGACCTGCACCATTTAGTTCAAGTCATCGATAGATACAATTAATCAAACACGATGTATTACAATTAGATTGTATAGCTGTACACACGTTATTTATTGCTGTTTTTATTGTAGTTTGTTTATCGAAAATGAAGTTTTTTGTGTATTTATTTTAGAGATTCCATATACATTTCAGTGATGTATGGTACTGAGTACAAAAGTAAGAATTTTTGGAATGAGCACCTAGCTTCACCTAGTTTCACTGACGGACTGACTGACAGACTTTTATTTATTTTGTATTTGTTGACGTTTCAAAAGTACCAAACTATGGTTTAATTGAAATAAATGCTTTGACTTTGACTTTGAAGATTCTATGTAACCGGGGAGTTTGAAACTTGTAGGGTCTAAAAAAGCGTTGCACGTAATGTCGAGATATTTTTTTAATTTGTAGTATTTAGAAATCTATAGGTAACTAATTATTATAATTAGGTCATCTAATGTACCAATGTATGTAATCTGTGTGCGCAAAATTCTACAATAACTCACTTCATTCCCCACATTCGTGTCTAAAGTATCGTGTGTCGGTGAAATAGCGCGAATCGATTGATAATAATCGAGTAATGTAATGTTGTATAACCGACCGGTCATATCGATTATTTTTTTGTAGTATCGACGCGTAAAAAGTACGAGGCACATTAGTTGCGACGTTTACCAGCGATTTTTGAATTAAGGTCATTTTTTTTTGAAAATAGTACAAAAAACTGTGAACTAAAAGAATTTAGTACAATAATTTGTTAAGTGGAAATTAAAAAGAAGGTTTTTAGCTTAAGTAATATGATTTTAGATTTATTTAAGTGATGCATTATTATTATTTTCTTAAGCAGTGTTTTATTATGCTCTCATTGCGCACTTATCTAGCATAGTTTCAATTTGTCGATTGACTGGTATCAGCAATTCCTGATCACCAGTTCTTAGGATGGTGGAAGATTAACACGTGTCATGTAATACATAAAGACCCTGTTTAATTAAAAGTCAACACGTTATAAAACAAGCCTTATCAGCACCAACATCTACGGGACCACTCATTGAAGACGACAAATTCTTACATACATATCCGTCTCAAAATCCAAGACTTTTCCGGAAATAACAAACAGACAGATCATTGATCGGAATATAATTTAATGAGACAAATCTTCCGCGTTACGTAAGTAGTAAAAAAATATTTATTGGGTGCATTATATACGTTATATTATAACAAATAAGGTGCTATGTTGCGCAATGCAGTAAAAGTGCTGCGCCGACCGCTGAGTACCGTTACACACGAGCGGTTTATTGAAGCGTCCTATGTCTTTTTTGAATGTGTAAAAGTATGGGTTTATTAACATAAACATAACATCACGCCTTTTTGTCCCCGAAGGGGTAGGCAGAGGTGCACATTACGGCACTTAATGCCACTGTATAATGTAACACCCACTTTTCACTATTTATGTTATGAGTTCCATGTAATAGGGGGTAAGCATATTTGGGTATATGGGTTTATTGTAGCAATATAAATGTATGTATGTATTTATGAACTTTGTCAACGAGACGGTCAATGTTACTGTTACCAAGTCAAAAATGTTAATATTGCCGATCCTAGAAATAGTGGAGATGGATCATTGATAGCATTTCATAAGATCAATTATTTTCGATTTCTGATTAAAATAAAACCATGTTAGTGCCACTGATTAAAGGTCGTATCGTGGTCGTAACCAATAATGAATTAAATCAATGTAAAAACATAATATTATGTACCTGTTTTGTGCATGTACAATGTTTATTTACTGGCGAGAAGTGTAATTGGTTAACAAACAAAAAAAAATCTCGAATACACTCTGGTATTGTAGGTAACTGATGTAAGAATTGTACAGAACAATTAAACTTTTATGTAAATGAGAAAAAACAGCCTTTTTATTGGAAAAGGTTTACTTAACGCATTAGTATCGATGCTGCAAGCTAACGCCAAGCGTTTGACATTTGCACGCAAATTAATGCATTGCTAATTAGGTCAAACGAAGTCGAGTGCCAAATGTCAGGCTTCAATGAACCTACCGTTTTACTAATCGTATGATAATTTTACTAATTAAGTAAGAAAATTACAAAAAAGCAGCTGTCTTAATATCTTATTTAATTATATTTTTGTTTAAATGTCAATCTGAAATCGTAACGCTATTGAAAGTTGATGAATATGTAATTACAAAATCTATAACTTTTACATAGAACACAGACAGACGGTTTTCTATCTGATATAACTCGGTATGCTATGAATAATTTCACTTTATTAGAATTTTATTATCTTAACGTTTTGATATTTGTACAACTTTTACTTGGCAATGAAAATGAATGTAATTTCTATTGAAAGCTGGGAGCTAAAGTGCTGGCTTAAGTCTAGATGTAACCGACTAGATTATGGTAACTGTGTATTTACATACGGAGAACTGTTTCTAGTTCTAAGATATAATTAGTCTAGTCTAAGTAAGTGCATTGACTTCCAGTGAAAATATTACATAAAGTGTTGGACGTACTTTATCTACAGTTTTAGCAACTTTAACATAAGAGGTAGGCAGAGGTGCTCATTACGGCACTTAATTCCACTGTACAATGTTACACCCATTTTTCACTATTTATGTCATGAGTACTATGTAATAGGGGGTGAGCCTATTGCCGGACCGGACCGTATATACTGGACACAATTCCAGATTCCGTGATTCAATTTATTCGTATTCAATTTACAAAAATATATAAATAAATTCATTACGAACCCGTGTTATTTACCAAGATTGATCTGTGTTTACACAAATCACTTTTCATCTTAATCAGAACCATTAGTCTATTGATTTAAAGTTTAATGTTTTAACTTAACAAGCCCAATATTTATGCTAACTTAAATTAAATAAGTCATCTTTTTTGAAGTAACACTTATTTTACATAATTCACCGGTTATCAAAGGTCAGCATTTAAACGCCAGCGTTCCAACCGCTCGTGTAGTTATGTAGATACTTCGAAAAAAATACAGTACATCATCACTTAGAAAGATGACTCAGCTAACCAAATATAAGTACAATAGTTAAAATGATAATGGAATAAGTTTAAACTGTAAGTTATATCAACAGTTTAGCGAATATTTCACACAGAATGTAGGAAGAAGATAATAATGATAAAATGGAATGAATTAGGTGAAAGTTTTATTAAAATGGTGTGGCATGGTGATGGCGTGACCTTCGCTTGTCATGTTAAGTATACATAATCGTGTATTTCCGTCTCATAAAAATGTTAGTCAAAGCTTTATACTACCTGAGTACCTGCCTAAGTAACCATATTGAAACCTTTGAACTGTGTTCTCTAATCCGGTGAACAAGGGTGGCATTTTGAAAAACTCTTATACGCAAAAGAGGTCCATAGTGCTGTTGTGGATTGTCTTGGGCTCTTAATATTGATGTGTATATTAGGGATCATTTTATACAGAAACTATTATAATGAAATCAAAGATTTTAATGCATCTGATTTGAAAATCTTGTTTATGGTTTAAAACGGTCTGTTCGTTACTTATACCGAACTATGACCGTTGAGATTGGTAAGTAAAACATAAGTATATCTTTAAATCAGTATTTCATCAATTTAAAAAATGTCATAAGATTTTATCTTTATCATTTTGTGAAGAAGATAAAAATCTATACAACTAGGTGCTATTCTGTTGGCCCAAACTGCATCTTAGTAAAAGTTAGTTTGACTATTACGTAAACGGTATTACGTGTATCAATGAATTACATCTTCTTGTAATTTTGTAATACAAAAGCTTGCAAAGTTCGATCCTAACGCCATCTATTGAGTGGCATGAGAACCTGTGATAAAACTTAATATTTTTTTAGAACTGTGTTCGTTTAACAATTACATTATCGATTCCACAAGTAGGCAATATAACATTTATCGTTATTACTTAATTATTATTGAATGAGACTGCCGTAGTGTTTGTCTAAAGCTATATAACATCACGTCCTTTATCCCCGAAGGGGTAGGCAGAGGTAGTACGCATTACAGCACTTAATGCCACTGTACAATGTAACACCGACTTTTCACCATTTATGCTATGAGTCCCATATAATAGGGGGTCAGCCTATTGCCATATACCGGGCACAATTTCAGACTCCGTGCTACTACTGAGATTTTTTTTAAACCTAATCGACTTTGCCCGACCCGGGAATCGAGCCCGAGACTCCTTGCTCGGCAGTCGCACTTGTGACCACTTAGCCAACGAGGCAGTCAATACTCTTTTATTTGCATTTATTGCATCTATATATTTTTTCCCGATTTAATTAATAAATAACTGTTCGTCGATATACAAATATAAATTATACAGCATCAATAATGCTTTGAAAATTTTCAGTATCAATTTATTTTATTAGAAGTATTGAATGAATACGTTTGATTACTTATCTCTCACAAATGAAGATAAATAAATGATTCGAGCGGGGGACGAAACCACGACACAGAATCATTGAAGTTATGTAAACAAAGAATTTATTGTTTTGTCATCAGCATCAACTACTAACTTCTGAGTAAGATAAGACCTGAGTCTGCGGTTTCGCATTCAAGTAATTTCCCAAAGAAAATCTATCTGTGGGTAATAAAAGTTAATTCTAATTGTCTATTACTTTCTATTCAATATTCTTATATAACTTTAGAGGTTTGTTTAATAATATTTAAGTACTAAGGACTCGCTATTTTATGTTATTATCTTTAAACAGTTGATAATCAATTTGTTTTGCAGC